TGCCTTCATGATTAATTGATTATTACTTGATATTATTTGATTATTATTATTAATTATTATATATTTATTATCTGTTTCGTGATAGGCCAGTTAAATCAATTATATTAGCTGTGACCTACTGGCAAATAGAGCATATTATTATGTTTATGTGATATAAACTTTGAGACTAATTTGAGAAATTGTTCAGGATACTCTGCACAGTGGTGACAGAATTTGATACCTCCTTTGAGATGGCATAAAGTATCTTAACACAGTAACTATTAATATTGATACATCTGTTTCACAAATTTTATATTCTTTAATAAATTTAATAAGTATATAATATGTATTCCTATTATTGAAAAGATAGTCAAAGAAATTTTTAACATTATGAAACAATTCAAAAATATACAATTTATTACTATAATTATTTTTTTTACAAAAACTAATTTCTTACATTTTATTTTGAAACCTGATGAAACTAATTGTCAAAGTAATCATTATTATAACAAAATTCTTCTAGATCAAAAGATTTATAGCAAAGGTTGTCAAATGAAAATTTGAGTAACCAGATAAAATCTCTGAAGGATCATCAAATTCCTTTTATAAAATCTTATAGAACAAACGTCAAACTATATAAATGAAAGAAAGATATCAAATTAAATATAAGTATAAGGGAAAATAAGATAAATGCTCTAATACAGGATCTTTAAAATGCTTTTCATATAAGAAATGATACAAGAATGCATCCTTTTTCAAAGGAAACTAAGATCTTATGGAATGGTTAGAAGAATTTAATCAGTTTACAAGAATAAATCAATATACTGATAAATATAAACTCTAAGTTGTTAGTGGATATCTATAGGGTACAACAGAACAATGGTTTAATAAAACACAAGAAGGACAGAACCTCATTAACCATTGGAATGATAAAGATCAGATTTCTTTTAAAACATCTTTCTTGACCACTTTCTGAACAACTGCATTAATAAATCAATGGAGATTCGAATTACAAATGAAAGTACAGAAGCTAGGCAAAAGTGTAGAGCAATATTCAAATAATATTAAGAAATTAATTAAACGAATAAATGGTAATAATAGATGGAGTGAAGATGAAAACGTCTAGTAGTTTTTGAAAGGATTATGAAAAGATATTGCTTATTAAGCCCGACCATTTATTATGTCTCAAGAGAAGCCAACCTTGAAAAAAATGATCCGAATGGTCAAGCAATTTGAAAAAAATGCTCATACCTATTTCGAAGCTACAACAGGATATATTACTATTATTTCTATAAGTATACAAGGATCTGTACCTTTTTGAAATAAAAGTAATGACAGCAAAGACACAATAAAACAAATAATATAGAAAGTTTTTATGTCTATCGCTGAAACATTACAGAAGATTATAGAGAAAAGAGAAAGAGTACCTAATACTTTTAATAACAAACTAAACTATAATAACAATAATAGAGAACAAGATTATAATAGTTATAACAACAATAGAAAACGAAGTTTCAGAAGTTATAATAATCTGTCCAATTGCCATCATTGTGAACAGACTGGATATATGGTTTGAAATTGTTCTATGAGACAAGGGAATCAAAGAAACTAAATAAATTTGACTATTCTTGCTACTATGTAACCTACCAATATTGTGCTTTCTGTAACTAATATAGTAACTAATCAAACTACACAACAAGTTTTGCAAGGAGACATAAATAGTAATATGTTTATAACTCAAGAGAAAGAAATCCAGCAGTCTATTACTGTTTAGGAAAGAATACAACATTTAAACTAATAGGCATACCTCAGGAGAGTAAGAGTGTAAATAATATAAATCTCTTATTTAAAATTGGAGATAATGATAAAGTAATAGGGGAAAGTATTGGGTCAACAAGTAAACAAGATACTTCGTAACCTATCGCAAAGAGATTATAATCTGCAGAAAAAAAAAAGGAAGTATTCAAAGATCCTAAACAAAAGAAAAAAAAGAAAGTATCACTTGTTCAATAACCATTTATGACACAAAATACTTTGCCACATTCTATCGTCTCAGATTTACTTGTAACAAGAGCCAACATTACTTTGGAACAATTAATGGCTATGTCACACTATAAAAGTAAAACCTGAAAAATTTTGATACCAAAGTGTACAAGAATTGTAAAGATGGCTAATTATACAACAGTAGAAGAGAATAAAGTCATGACTTGTCAAGCTCAAGTAACCAGATGGAAAGTTGAAGTAATTCTTGATAGTGAATTATCTATTAGTATCATTTCGAAGAATTTCATGAAATCTATAAGACGAAGAATTGAGAAAGTGTTCAGAAAAAAAATAACTGGTATACACAGAGAAAGACGATCTAGTTTGGGAATCGTGACATTAGTATTCATAAAGTTAGAAGAAATTGTAGTAGCTGTTGATATAGAAGTCATTGATATAACGAGTTACATATTAATTCTTGGAACAGATTGGTTAAAAAAAGTTCATGCTATAATAGACTACCAAGAGTGTAAATTAATATTAAAGGACGACAAGCGAACAGCACAAATTTCTTGTAGAAATACTAGAGCTACTGTATCAGATAATAATAAAATTAATAATGATAATGAAAAAGAATATGTAGAAAGTAGTGATGATTCTGACACGGAAAATGACAAAGAAGTAAATTTCGTAGAGTTGACATATGAACTTTCACACCAAGAATCTTATACGAAATATAAAATTACTTCCGAAGGAATGTACAATAACTTGAAGCTTGTTACATGGAAAATGTATAACTATTTCTTCTATTGTTTCAATCTGATTAAAAGAAAGAAAGGTGTTCAAGAAAGACATAAGATAACAGGACCTAACTTCTATTGCTGATGTGATGAATATCTTGAGACTAGTTAGAATATATGTGAAATTTGTGAAGAATATCAACAAGATTATAAGATTATTTCCATTATATCATGAAATGAAATACAAGATATCCATTATAATTTGGTACGAGGAGGTGTAGAGAAACTCGAAGGGAATTAATATAAGTCACAAGTTTACAAAATTATTGAAGAGTTTCCAAACCTTGTAGCTAAAGACCTTTCAGAACTTGAGAAAACGAACCTTTATCAGTATACAATAGATACTGATGAAGCAAAACCAATCAAATTAAATCTTTATAAAACTTCACTTTGATACTTAGAATTTTTGAAGGAGGAAATAGCAAATATATTAAAAAACAGATTAATTCAAAAGTCATTTAGTCCTTGATCTGTGTCTATAGTCATGGTAAACAAGAAGAATGGAAAATACAGATTCTGTGAGATTACAGAAAATTAAATGTGGTTACAAATCCTAACACCTATTCAGTATCACAAATAGCAGATATACTAGATACCTTAGGACATTTCACCTTTTTTTTAACTTTAAATCTTGCTTTAGGTTTCTGACAAGTTGAAGTATCTACTAAAGACCAGGAGAAAACTGCTTTCACTACTCTATTTGATACCTATGAGTTCCTTGTAATGTCTTTCAGACTTATCAATGCCCCTATAACCTTTTAGCAAGTAATGAATAGAGTCTTCCATAAGGTTACTTGAAAGTTTGTATTAGTATTGTTGACCGTGATTTACCTTCAAATAAATACGATTAACTAACAACTAAAGGCAGAGAAATATGTATAGCGAACACACAGCAACTATACTTAATATACCAATGTTGGAAGAGTTTTATACTGTAAAGGAAGTA